CCCTAAATTTTTCTCTGTTGCATTCAGATAATGCACAAATCTCCCTTATCCCAGAAAAATATCTGTTGTCTGCTTAATTTACTTTAATCCACTCACTTTTACATTTCTCAAACAGTTGTCTGTTCTTCTGTCTTTCTTCATCTGCAAGCCCTTACCAAGGTATTAGAGCATGTGATCTGGGTCTCATAAATCTGTTTTTGAGTTCTGGTGCCTCCTTGAAGTTATTTTGTAATTTTTGACAAATTACTTGAATCTGTAAGTGTTAGTTGTCTTCTACATTATTTAGGCCTTGTAGAATTGCTTGCAGGAATAAAATGACTAAGCCCCAGCATAGAACCTGGCCCATAGAAGTTCTGTAATTGCATTCAAATTTAGTGATTTTTTTCTCTCACCCACTTATCTTTTAATTTTGTTATAATATTTTGTTAGTCAATCTATAGATAAGTGGGACCAAACTGCTGTGCTGATTAAAAATAACTATATAGCTTATTCAGTAATATTTATATTTTTAACTGTTGCCAATCAACTTCTAACTTGGTGTTGTTTTGGTCATTTTTAAAAGATACTCAAAGAAGGATTACAGAAATATACATATCCTCCAGAAACTACAGAAGAATTTGAAACAGAGAACGCTTTCCCACCTATAGAGGTCACGCTTGAGGTTCATGAGAATGTAATCTTTTTTGAGGATCCTATTGTTGTAAGATGGGACACTGAAGGTACAGCAATGCCTTAACCAGCTTTTGCAGCTATATAATAAAAAGAGGCATAATAGTAAAAATCCTTAAATTGAAACATAAAATGCAGTGTATAAACTGAGTTTCTTATCTTACTTATTTCTGTGCCTATTGTAGGGTCTTTTGTTTGCTCTTGATAGAAATGAATAAGGGTTGGAGTTTAAAAATGTACTGAACTTTGTAACTATTAGTTCCTAAAGTTTATATCTGCCATAGTGTAGTAATAATTACTTATAAATTGCAAACAAATATTGGGGATGGTGAAATGGACAAATGGGAAACTTAAGAGGAAAACTAGCCCCTCTATGCCTTTTTATAATTTTTGATTCTTGAACCATGGGAAATTATTGCTTATTCAAAATATTAAGTACATATTAACAAAATCAGAAATACCAACAGAGATATAAGTGAATGATTTGTTAATTTGGGGTAGGCTGGCTGAATTTTTTTTACCTTTACAAATTAACATAATCTTGTTAATGTAGAAACAAAAAGGGGAATTAAACATAACTTAGTTTTTCAATGTAATTGTATTTGTAATGTTGGATTTAAGAGTAAAACCTAGTCAATGGAACCCACCACGTGAGAAGAGGAAAGAGAGCCAAGTAGAAATGAAGAGAGCACCTAGGAAGAGAATGGTTCATTCATTTGTCCTATAAATATGCTACACAATGGGAGATATAGAGATAAGTGGGCATAGTTCCTTCCTCTGGGAGTTTTCAAAGTTGTAGGGGAGGTAACAGGTGAAGGCATCGTAAAACAGTGTAGTAAGGTGCTAGGATAGATGTAAAGTGCTACAGGGCACCACAGTGACTGGGTGGATCTGGAGACTCGAGGAAGGCGTCTCATGGGATGGAATGTTGAACAGGGCCTTAAAAGACCAAGAGAATATTTGCATGCAAGTTTTTGTGTGGACATGTGTTTTCAATTCCTTTCAATACCTTGGTGTGGAATTGTTGGGTTGAATGGTAAATTTATATTTAATTTTTTAAGAAACGTCCAAACTGTTTTTCAGTGCAGCTGTACCATTGTGTATGCCTGCCAACAGTGTATGTGGTTTCCCGTTTCTCCACATTCTTTCCAACATTTGCTACTGTCTTTTTGATTATAGCCATTCTAGTGGGCATGAAGTGGTATCTTGTTGTCATTTTAATTTGTATTTCCCCAATGACTAACCATGTTGGACATCTTATGTACTTATTAGCCTTTCATATATCTTCTTTGGTGAATTGTTTATTGAAATTTTTGACCCATTTTGAAATTGGGTTGTGTTTTATTATTGAGTTGTAGGAGACACAAAAGACCATCTAGCATATGATTGATTGCATTTATATGAAAAGTCCAGAAAAGGCAAACCTTTAGAGACAGGAAGTATATCAGTGGTTGCTTAGGGCTGGAGGTGGGAAAGGGAGTTAATTGTAAATGAATATAAAGGATCTTATGGTGGGGGGGAATACAAATATTCTAAAAGTGGATTGTGGTGATGGTTGCATAACTGAGTAAATTTACTAACATAAAATTAATTTTTCCTAAAATTAAATTAATTAAAAATAATTGTATAGGGGGGATACAAATATTCTAAAAGTGGATTGTGGTGATGGTTGCATAACTGGGTAAATTTACTAACATAAAATTAATTTTTCCTAAAATTAAATTAATTAAAAATAATTGTATACTTAAAACAGGTGAATTTTAAAGTTGTTTTAAAACAAAGATGAAGAGAGTTTCTCTAAAAGATTAGGAGAGAGTACTCTAGGAAGAAAGGACTACATGTGCAAAGGCACAGAGGGACTCATATAATATTGTTAGGGAAGGAAAAAATGTGGGTTGAAAACAGGCATGAGAAGTGGCAGGGCATGAAGCCAGGAATGTGAGTTAAAGCTTCATTCTGAAGGTCTATGTACCACGCTGAGGAGTTTGGACTTGATCTCGTAGGTAGGGGAAAACTCCCAGCAAAGTTGACTTTTTGTTGAGGTTCTATTCTAAAAATAAAAGATCAATTTATACACACTGCAATTTCGCTTTGGGTGGTTTCATTCATGTTAGTTTTTATAGGAAAAAAATGAAGCTAATGTCACTTTCATTTATTATAAAGGTAAACGCTGGAAAACTGATGGCATCAGCAAGGTATCTTACAACCCAGAAGAAAGACTTATAACATTCAGCCTGGAAACTTTTGGCCCCGTAACCTTGATTCAGGATACTCATATTAACATGCCATACCAGTCATGGGAACTGAGACCGCTTGGTGTGAATACGGTACTTTTGACGGTGACTACAGTATTTACTGAGATTCAAATACAAATTAAGGTGAGTTACTGCTATAGCAAGCCGTATCAAAGTACACCTCATTGTTGGATATAATAAAGTGTGTCAAAGCAATCAATCACTGCTGATTTACATTTTGAAATATGTCTTTTATAATTACATTTAAAATGTACCTAGAGCTATAATTTCTAAGTGAAATATTAATTGAATAATTAAATAGGCAATAAGTAAGTAGTGAGGCTCAAAGTTGTACCTTAAAGTTACTAGGGATAGATTAATGAACTGACAAGCCTGGTTGCAGTATGAATTTGAGAGTTTTGATCCGAAGAAGCTCTCTGATCTTTGTATCATCCACCCACTTGAAATCCCCTTTGAGCTTTGCCTCTCTCTGAATGATCACCTATTGCTCATCAGTTGGAAGTTACATAGACTGAACTTTTATAGAGACAAAGATAGATTAGTGGTTGCCTGGGGCCAGGTGGAAATGGGGATAAGGCATCTTAATGGAATGGATGAAAATGTTCTAAAGCTGACTTATGATAATTGTACCATTAGGTAAAGTTACTAAAAATTATTGGATTGTACACTTGAAATGGGTGAATTTTATATGTAAAATATCTCAATTTTTTTTAAAAAAGAAAGATAGCTTGGAATTCATTATGAATGTAGCAGAAAGACTAGAATATTATCAAACTTTGTTTTTAAATCCAGATGAGATTGGAGATGAAGAGCTCAGAACTATCAATGCTACGTAGGCTCTTAAAGCACTTCTAGTCTACCCTCACATTTTCTAGAGGGAAACTGAGGCCCAAAGAGGTTAGGAAGTTAAGTGACCTTCCTGAGATTGGGTAAGATTATAGTGATGGCACCTCCTGTCAGGCTTCCCAAACAGTTGGTGCTGCTTCCCCCACACCGTCCCAGCAGCCCTGAAGACCCCTGTGCACAGACTCTTTCTGTAGTCTCATGGAAAGATACAAACAGTGTTTACTCGTTAATATGAAGATTGGAACAAGCATTGCTCAATGTGCATTTTCAGGTCAGATTTTAAAGGTGCATCTGTACTCTCTAAAACGGTAGCTACAAGCCACATGTGGCTACTAAGCTCTTGAAATGTGACTAGTCCAAATTAACATTGCTGTAACTGTAAAATACACATCGGATTTTGAATACTTGTATGAAAAAAAAAACTGTCTCAATAATTTTTTATATTGGTTACGTACTGAAATAACATTTTAACTATATGGGGTTAAATAAAATATATTACTGACATTTAAAAAAAAAAAAGACGAGAGATTGGAACTTTGTACACCTTCAAATTGCCACTTTGCCAAACTTTAAAACTGGAAAATAATTTTGCATCATGTTAAATCTTAACATGTGTAAAAAATTAAGAATGATTCTTTTTTTTTTTTTTTTTTCCTTTTTGTCTTTTTTCGTGTCTGGCAACGGATTGCAACCCTC